TGTAATTTAAAAATTATATATGTGTTCGTGTTTCAATCAATTATTTAACTAATGTAATACATATTTTTTGTATTTTTGTATTTAAACATTTCATCTTTAGGATAACTCATTCAAGGTATTAATATAGTAACAATTAAGAAAATTCTTTTTTACTTACATGGGTGCTATTTCGCTACCTTGTTGCATAATGGCGCCTATCGCAAACCAAAAGGCATTTTTAAAGGAAAATTGATTTTCAAGTACTTCGGGTTCTTCAATGCAAGGGTAAGGATTGCTCCATTCTGCAGGACATATTCTCCCAATTATGTAGAGTAACAATGATACTATCACATATGCGCCAATCAAATAAATCCAGACATCGTTAGAAAATGGTGATAAAAATGAAAATAAACTCGGAGGTGCTTTTTTTGGTTTTTTATATAATATGCTAATTCCTGTGTAAAATTATATCTTTTTAACGAATAAAAATGATTTTATATGTATACTGATGGCAAAAATCAAATTAACTCATTTAACATATTTATAATAATTATTACTTTAAATTTATTGACCTAAATTCATAATGGGCGTTGTAAAGTCGAAATGTTCTGCTCGTTGTGATGTAATAGTGAGATCCGTGATAGCCAAATCTGCTTCCTAAAAGAGCGTTATATCTTCGATTTATAGATTCCGTTATATTAATGCAAACTTTTTATTTATATTTTATTACTTGATTATATTCCTCGACATTTAATACTAACATCAGCCATAATTTTTCCAAGCATACCAGTCCACTTTTCATTTTTTAAAGAGCCATAATCGCTACTTTCCACTTGCAAAGTAAAATTAAATTTAAGTATCTGACTAATTTCTTGTATGATGTCGACTGCGAAACCTTCATAACGCTCATTACCACTCAATGTATCCATCGATTCTTTTATCATGCTATATGGGGCCGTTATTGATATTAAAACTATAAATGTCTTATTTTGTATGTTCAGTTTAGAGTCTGATTTTTGAGTACTGATGTCTGGAAACCATTCGATATTTTCCCCTGCTGTACTATTCCATTCACCAATTTTTATCAGACCCTTTTTTTCAGTCAAACGTACGATATCCAATTTTATATTACTTCGTAAACCGTCTCTATCAAATTTGACAAGACCCGTTAAACCTCTTATTTCAGTCTAAAAGTGAAACAATACGATAAAAATTACTTTTATAATGAAAGAATTATTGAAATTAAATAATTAATTCGAAGAAATATTTATCATAATTGATATCAAAATTTATTGAATTAATTTTATGATATAGCAATTTCTATATTTTTTATTTATTAATGTTCTTTAAGAATAGCAATTGATGCCAAACAAATTTATGTGTATATACAATTTGATTATAATATTTGATATATTAGAAATATATAATATATTTAAATTAAAGCATTTCTTGTCTTACCGATCGCATAAAGTTGCTTAAACTCAATCCATGTTCCCATCTGCTATTACCATCGCATTTCAACAATTTGTTGACATTGACCTTTGTAGCATCCTTCAATTGTTTGAAAGCTCTCGCAAACAATTGAACTGCATCGTACATGAGCGCATGTTCAACTCGCAGCTGTGAAGAATTGTTTTCTCGTTCGTTCTTATGCCTGTTCGCGATTTGTAGCACTGTCGGATCTTCCGGATCAATCAGACGAATGCCAGTTAAATTAACGCCAGAAAACTGATATGGCTCTAAATCCAAAGTTTGCAGATCCTGATTGCAATGTACATTTATTGGCATATATTATGTTTAATTGTTGGATTATACTCATGTTAAACTTTTACTCGTAATTTAAATGTCATACAAAATTGAAAATTCAAATTATAAATTAATAAAGTTTGGATGAACTGATATTTAATACATTTATATTAATGAATACATTGAACCAATCGTTAAAAATTTCTAGAATCAATTTGCATATATCAGTCTTATAATTTTATAATTTTTAATCAAAATTTTTATTTATTATATATATGCAATAAAACTTTACTAAATTATCTTCTACTAACAAGTATTACACTATTCATATACTTTTTACACAATATGAATTTTTATCGAAAATGTAGCTTATATTTATGATGTATGTTTCAAACGCAAAATTTTATTGCAATTATAATTATTATTATTCTATAATTGTATAATAACTTGTGCAAGTGTTTTCTTACTAGCGAGGTGACAATGACTTTGTACTTGTCGGATAAAATCCCAACTTGTTGAGCCTGCTTCAGAACCTCTTCGAGAATTTCGTATGAACAGTCGATGACAATACTTTCTATGTCCTTCGATGTTTTAATTTCTTGCATTCCTTGCCTACATAAGATTCGATACCAAGCTATACAATTAACTAACTTTTTCCTTTAAAATATTTCTCAATTAATTAAATTCGCCGATCTTTTTAGTCTCACTTAATCACTTCCGGCATAATTGTCACTTATTGAAAAGAATCTAGCTGTCTTGTTTGATTGAAAAAAATCTAAAAGTCTGAATAGTATTCGACTCGAAAGTATTCTTAATATGAAATTTAAAAATATTTATATATTTATAATCGACTATATTAACTCGACGCTCCAAGTTAATTATAGAGGAAAGTCAGTCGATATCGATATGTCACTTTGTTTTTAGACAATATTTTTTTATTATATATATTTTATTAAACAAAAGGTAAAAATAAAATTTTAAAAATATAAGTACAAAGTGTCTTCTATGAGATAATACATAGTTTTTGTAACATTGTTTGCAATTTTTGTAATAATTAATTTTTTCGTAAGATAAGCAAAAATAAAGGTCTGCAATAAAACGGACTCCAAAACAGTAATGCTACGTATTCTTGTTTTTTTTCTTTTACAGGAATTATCTGTATAAAATATTTACAAATGAATGTATATAAAATACTTCAGAATCTTTTCACTTCGTTATAAAACATTTTTATTGGATTATATGTATATGTATATTTATTTTATGTTCTGTGAGATGCGAATAGAGTAACGCAATAGTTTTTCAAGAATTTTTCCATATATGCATGATTGTCTTCAGCTCCAATAGAACTATTTGATACTATAAAGCAATATTATAAAAATTAAGTTAACTCATTATGTTAGTTCATGTTTGTTTTATAGATGTGGCAGTTTACGTTGCATCCCAATTTTAATTTTAACATCGTATTATGAGAAACTAAGAGAAAAAATAATATAAATAAAACTGATTTAGGAAATTAAAAGCATTTAAAATGACGAAATATTATCAATAGTCACTATTATTTAAACTGCGCAATTTGCAAAAGAAAATTATAAAAATTTTATTTTCGCATTCGTAGAATTTATTTTTAACTGATTTGATTATATGTAGAAACAAGCAACAAATACACAAATTATGAATTTTTATTTCTTTAATTAATGGCTAAACAGATCATGATTTTATTAGTATTAATAAAGTGCAATAGTTTCTGAGAAATAAGGGGGTATCACTTTAGGAGACTTATGTTAGTATCGGCGACTTTCCTCTAAATATTTGCAAGAAGATGTAATTTTTCTGTCATTGTGAGATCTAAAAATCTTTGATTTATTTACAAGATTAGATATTTATATTTATACCTGTAATTCGGTCCATAGCCTAAATGATATATAAATGCAGAATTGGCATTTGTGTTCCATCGCTTCAGCAAGAGACGCATGCGAATCAGACTATCAGTGTTCTCATACAGTATTGCAAAGGATTTCCATTTCAATTCTGTGACTAATTGATAATAAATCTGTAAAAATTTTGTTGATGATCATTATTACGTGACTATTATAAGAACGCATCGAATAAAATAAAAATTAAAATAAAGGAAAGATTAAATAAAAAAATTATAATTAAGACACAAAATATTAAAAAACATATGTTACTGTTCTACTATAGTAATCATGAATAATTTGTTTATTTTTTTAGTTAATGAAGACAAAGATTATATTATTTTTTTATATAAACAGATAATGAATAATTATTTTCGAGAAAATAATTTTTTTTTAAATACAAAATTATTTATATGTGTATATATTATTTGTTTATATATTATTTGTTTATATGTTATATGTAACCATTTATATTATTTTTCAATTACATCATATTATTTAATATGATTATAATCAATCTTCTAACTTCATTACTTACTCTTGATAATGAGCTCACATGCGGATACAGATTCAGAGCTATTCCGCGTGGTTGGAAAGATTGGTCAAGATCCTCTCGTACAGAGATTTGTGGTACTTCTACTATATCGCATATACTTTGCACGTGCTCGGCAATTACTTTTTCCTGAGGTCCAAAAACACCTACTATTCCCAGATCTAGCAGTTCGCATACTAAACATTTTGAAAAATAAATTGTATAAAAATACATTCATATAATATAATTCTATGCTACATTATTTTGATCATATTTTCGGAAAAAATAATTTAATAATTATTTATTATCTAGTATTATATCTATGTAGGAAAATTCGTGCTATGTAAAAACATAAATTTTTTACAGAGTTATGTTTTATTTAAACATATAAAATGTGAATTAAAAGATTTTTATACAACGTAGAAACTTATAACAACATTGCTGCAAAGTTGAAATTTTACTGTAATATTGCTGAAGTGTTGCAGTGTTGCTGCAATATTGTCCAGATAATTTGTGCTGTATTTGTTTAATAAACGAAAATGTGATCTATATTCAATTCAAAATTATCTATATTCAATTCATTAAATATTTCAAGAAGTTTAGCTCAAAATGACATATAAACAGTCAAAAATTCAATATTAAATGTATGATATATTGAATAATTTAATATTAAACACACATCACTTTGGCATTGACTAGCAGTTTCACCTTTCGATGATACTTCGAATGAGTCCCCTTCAATCTGCTCTATTTCCGGTTCGAAGAATACATTTGAAAGTTCTTGGTCCTCATTTTCATTCACAGCTCTTACTGACAATTCGAACATCTGTTGGATTTCTTCATCTTGATCGAATAGCCCTGCTGTAAATACATAGCCGATTCTTTTTAAAATTGAGTTTTATTGACATGACTGAAATAACTCACAAAATAGCTCTTTCATAAAGTAGTACGCATTAACAGTATGGCTGTGCAAATCCAACTCAACACGGTTTTTTCAACATATTTCTTTTAATATTTAAAAATTAAACTAACAATGATATTAACTTCAACCGTCATGTGCAAATTTATAATAATAAGAATGTTTTAAAGGTTTACATATGTTGTTATATTTATATTATAATACTTTATTTTTTATAGCAAACATTGATAATTTTTGATATTATGTAGGAATTGATATATTATAAGGATTATATTTACTTTTAGATTTTAGATATTGTACTGTTTATAGACACTTTAAGACTCATAATAAAACATAAATACATAAATAACTTTCATATTTTATTTACATTTTATTCACGTCAGTGAACATTTATCTTACCTATCGGAATCTTTTTTGGAAAACTTAGCACACATACGTAAGGCAGAAATATCGGCAATAATATCAGTAGAGTCTTGGCCATCATCTTATAGTCATTCTGCGTACACACAAAAGAACAGATATTAAAATGCAGCCTATTAGTGAGCATCTTGACAGGTGCAGATGTGTATCCAACAAAGTCAGATATAAATGGCACATATGTACAACTAAATGGAAAGGTTTTGAACGAGCACTTAACTAGCCGACGTTATATAAACTAACCAGAAGGCACGGCGCCGCCTGAAAATCACTCTCGCTGCGCATAAATATTTAGACCCGTCTAAAATCAATCTTCTAATATTGAGTTTAGTTATTTGCTTGATGCTTATACTCTTAATAAATCCCTATTGAGATCTATCTCAGAGATTCCTACGTTACTTTTCTGAGTTTATTTTATCTGTTGTGAAAGTAAGTTCTCTTTTTCTTTCTGCTTCTTTACATGTTATTACAGCGATTCTCAAATCATGTGCCAAAATAAATCAATAATAATATATTTATACAAGTAACTTGTTAGCTATTTATCATCCTAATTTCTATAATTTAGTTTCCGATGCGTGCAAGAATTGTCATATTCTTTTTTACTTATTTAAAAATCCTTGTATAAATTTAAACCTTTCTTAACTAAATTTCATTGACTTAAGTTGACGCATTTTATTTTAATCAACATGTTGAGTAAAATAGTTAATCATATGAAAATTTTCTTCGCTATCAAAAAATTGTTTCTAAAATAAAGTACATAATTACTTTAACTAGAAATAATAATAATTATCTTAATGAAATAAATGCATATTTTCATAAAATAAATGTATATATTTTTCCTTTGAAAATCATACATTTTTATATAATTTTATATAATTACATATAATTAAACAGTTTAATTAAATTTCTGTTCAAATATAAATCATGAAAATAATTACACTGGCTGTAAAAATTATTAATTTGCTTTACACTCTTAAAATTTAATCCTCCAAAGTTTTTCTCAAAATAACTCTCTTGTTCTTAATTATTTGATAAGAATTAAATATTCGTTTAAACTTTCGATGAGATAAATTTGAACAAGTGTTTAGATACTTGTAAATATTAATTTGATTTTATTCTGATTAATAATATCAATTTCGAAATGATTTTTTAAAGTTACGTAAATATGTCTCATTCGCTGGAAACAACCAGCTATCTTGAGAGTACGAATTTGTAGCGACGTCGCACGCATTCGAAGTATGCATAGCTTATTGTCATCATGCCAAGTGTACGCAGTCTGGCGCGTTTTTTTTCATTCACACATTCATTCAAGGCTCTCGCTTTCATATTTATTTATCACGGTGATTTTGGATATTTCGCAATGTATCAGCTCGTCCATTCGTATTACGCAGAATAAATCATTAAATCCCGCAGATTTCTGCAATTCAAGTTTTTAAATGGTTCAGCACACGATATCGGCACAACTTGGAAAACTAACGAAAATCTTAATAGAACGCATAACCATGTCGATATATTTAGACGCCGAACATCTCCGCCGCTACTGGTGCTTGTCGCGTTCGTCGTGTGACATAGATTACAACAGGATACAATCGAAAATATTTTTTTAATAGGAAATCGCCTTGCACGTAATTTTTCTATAAGTTTTAAAAATTAATTTGCTCTGTTTTTTTCTGTTCTTTATTTTATATTTACTGTGAATATTTGGAAATTCGAGAGTATTTTTTCAGAAAATATATTAAATGCTTAAATTCTATTCGTATCATTGAGTTTGAAAAGACAAACTTGCCCAATTTTCTAGACTTTTCTTCAAACTCGTTTTAGTCGTTTGAAATTCAATTACTGGTTGAATATTCTAGAGGTGAAAGATTTTTTTTTTGCAAGGGGATGGAAACACGGAGCGAATTATACGCGAGTTCTAGAGAAGTATGTATCGGGATTTAACTGATAGACGACGAAGAATTGTTACTTCACGAGAGGATTATCTCTAAGAGCTTACAAGGGCTTACCTAAAAACGTGATGTTGCGACTCGTTCCACTTGGCACGAAACTTTTTGAACCGCTTTACCGAACGAAACTCGCGCGGCACGCGACTCTAAATCCGAACGGCACTTCTCGCGCGGCTGATCTTAGCAGCGCATGCTCTAAACTCCCTTCCCAGATTTCGTCGTGACGACGAAGAATGCTTGTCGTCTGCGTCGTCGTCAACGGATGGAGTAGAAATCTAATGCGCAATGGTACTTTTAGGGAAGCGACAAGAATTAATCAGCGTCAATACCATATTATATGCTAACTACATAGAAATCTAAGATGTTGAAGAATTTTTATATTTTAAGAAACATTTTTTTATGTTGTTCTTGATATATTATAATTAAAAAAAAATTTTTGTTGTGAATGTAAACTGAACCAAAACTAATTTCTACGTCATCAGTAGATCATTTTTATTTAATTTTATGCCGCAAAAGAATCGAAAAAAAATAATTTTTCAAATTTGTTTAGATCTGTCTTTTATATCTCTTTTATCTCTTAAATCTCTATATCTTTATTATTATTAGAACTCTGTACTATTAGATATCTGTAGAAAAGATTACACAATAAAAAAACATTTTGTACTTGTCACGTCAAATATGTTAAATTTAATATAAATTTTCCAATTGTGTACTATGTGCCAACAATGAATTATTGTAAAAGACTTCCCCTTCCCCCAAAAAAGAGAAATACTTAAATGATATTAAAATTTTCTCAGTTTTTTGGATATATTGTTTGTAATAATTATTGTAAAAGATTGCTTAAAAGTATTTGTAACAATGCGTTGTTATTTACGTTTCTTTTTAATTACATTAATACTGACATTAAGGGTGGAGTTGAAAGAGTATTTAATTTAGCATATTAATTTAGATGTTAGAGAAATTAATTGCATGGATAATGCAAGATTATAATCGCAGTTAAAGATATAACTAGAGGCAATTAATGTGAAATTGAAATTATAATTATTTCGCATTAATTACTACCTAAAATAATAGAAAACGCGTTATTGTTTTAATATCCTTAATTATTTAATTTTGTAATTTACATTTAGGTTGGTACTCATAGTTTTTGTTTCAAGATCATCTTAATAAGTATTGTTTTAAGATACTAATGTGTGACTCTATGATTGATTTATCAATCACATTGGATATCTCTTATATAATAAATACATAAATATCATGTATTATACAATTCACATATAAATTGTGATGAATTGTATATACGTTAATATATAAAATAAATACATTAACATTTTTATAATGTAATATTAAGATTTTTATTTTTATTTAAGAGAAATTATTCTTTTGTAATTTAATTATATTACAATTTCAAAATAATAGAAAAGAATGCAGTTACAAGCTAGGGATTGTTATGATTAAATAATAATAACTGGTCAATCGGGAAAAAAGGTGATGAAGGCAATTATAATAGAGAACATTTGGATGAGAATTTACAGACGATTAATTTATTCACGTTTAATATGTGTTGATGCTTGTATTACATTTTAAGAAGTAGAATCGCGATAGGCTCTTAACAAACTCGTATGTCGTGACATATGAACGGAAGTATGTAACGAGAATGTAATAGTCGATGATATTTACAATTAGTATATTGTGTATATGTGTATGTGTATATGTATGTATCTGTACATTAACGACGTGTCTGTATGTACTCTATGATTTGCATTTCAGAATTCGATAAATTGTATCGAGAGAAACAAAATCCTTATGAAAAGTGCAAGTACAGGAGAAAAAAAACAAAACGTACTTTGCGCTTCTCTTCGCTTTTACGTTCGATCTTAAAATAGTATCCGCGTACACATTATTGAAATATCATACACTCTTCAATACGGCGTCGACATTCATACTCTTTATATAGCATTCATTTTCGAGAGTTTAAATACTAGATTGGAATCGCGATGTTTGTTTCTATTACATTTTTCTCTTTTTAAGTTAGAGGGAAGACTCAAACGAATACTGCTTGGTTCACAAGGTCCGCATAAACGCGAATCAAACGGAAATGTTAATTGAACGAACGAATATCAGTTAGAATAACGACGTATTTCTTAAAAATAATTTTGTTAGGACAATAGAGCAGTCTTTTGCATCAGATAAATATCGACAATACATTACGCGAATACGATTTAAAATATATTATCGACATAATCTGAATAATTAGCTTAAAAAATTAACTCCCTATAGAGTATTCAAATAATATTTTAATGACCTTATGGACCCCGTCAGACCAGCTATAGGAATGAATTCAGATAAAATATGTTCAAAAATTGTAACTATTTATCGCGAATTACACATACGAAACATTGGATTGCGATATAAAGTGCAAATTACGATATCAGGGGCCTAATTTTTGAAATGTATGCTTACGAAAAATTAAGGAAATCTATAACATATGTAAAGTATGCTATATTTTTGTATAGTTTCGTATGCGATATTTTTCAAGAATTCAACCCTTGGTCTCGCAGATTATGGAATCCGTGAAAATCCTTTCGCGTTATTTATATATCACGTGGAGATTTTTGAAATCGCTATTGTCCGCGCGTATTACGTTCCACCGTATCCGAATAATTTTATATGGATGACAATATTCGGATTGATTTCAATAGAATTACATAATAACAAATAGTGCATCTTTAATATCGATGAAAGATCATTCAATTCCACGTGATTCTCATTCATTCGCTCGTTTCCTTGCACGCATCTTCCTTGACGTTCAACAGACCTTACGAGGAACTAGATAATGGACTATCTTATTCAACGATGGTTCGTAAAAAAAGGACAGACGTGTATACACGATTAGAATTAAGTCCCTGTTTCCTTTTATATATCGTCTCTGAATTTCATCGCAAATTCTCGTCGCAACAAATTTATAAGAGTTTTCTAATGCTAAGAGCTTTCGACGACACATTCTCTCTTTTTCTTTCCTATCAAGAAATGTAATATCAAATTTGTGTTTGACTTGATACTCGACAAAATTCAATCTCGCTATAATTATCTGAGAATAATTCATATTTTTTTATTACATTTGAAAATGATTTCACAGTCAGAATAAATTATTTTTGTAGCGATTTCTTTTTCTGGACCGTCGATGTTTTGAATTGATCGATTATGTATGTTTTAATTCGCACATGAGCAAGGAAACAATTAACTTCGCAAAGAAATTCATCACTCGGCCAGGCAGTGGCCCCTTTGTTCACGTCAAAGGTGCTTTTCCAACGAAGTGCCTGTACTTGTTGCACGCCGCGTACTTGCCCTTCTCCGAAACGATCGACAGACTTGAATGTTGCCCCTGACATCGACAAAGCGCCTTTCTCCACGACTTTTTATTTCCGTTGCCGCAGTCCAAAGCGTATCGCAATTCGCTTGCCATTTCCGAACACACGGACTTCTGAAAGTTCCACGAAAAAACGATTGCGAAAAGCTCATATATTGAATAAACGAGTCGTTCAGCTCAAACTCAAAACATTGAGACTCAAAATTGTATTAGTTTTTATTTTTTTTACAAAGATGCAATTGAAAGTTAATGCAAGGTAATTTATATTCAATAAATTTGAGCTGAAAAACTAATATCATTTAAGAATCTATAATAAATGATTTAGATGACAGAAAACACAATTGAGATAAAAGATTTAGATTATATGAATCTGTGTCAGATCCGGATTATTGTTTTAGGAAAGTTCAATAAAAAATCTTAACGAAATTTTTGTAAATAAATTATTATCTTGTACATTCAGAAATCTCAAAATTTTTGATGTTAAATTTAATGTAATTTTTATAGCTTAAAGAAAGGATCTAATACAACACTGAAAAATATAAAAGATAAATGTGCTCACCTCCTGTAAATCCGTGACGGGAGAGAAGCAAGAAACATTGCGACACAACTAACAATGTCATACTAAACTATCACACAATACGCGTCCTTTCAATTTCATTTACGGCTATAAATAATGCAACATTTCGAAATCGTAATTTTCGTACAAGTTACTTCGTCATGACACAGAGATTTGTCTATTCAATAACGAAATTTTGGAAGTCCGCGTGCTTCTTACATGGATCGGAAATTTACATTAAATTGCGACGAAAGCTGCTTGTGGATAAAGATGACTATTTTCTAACATAATATTGTTAGACGTTACTCGTTCTGTACATTAGTTAATTTCTTTATTAAAATCTATATTAACGTTTTAAATATCACAACATATAAAAGAAAAAGATAAGAATTAGTAATTATATATCCTTCAATGAAACTCTTATTTATAAAAATAAAAAAATCTTGGTAGATCGAGTTCCAAGAATAATCTTAAAAAATGTTAAGAAAATTTTATATTCTTATTTTATATACTTATATATAATT